GCTGGTGGGAATGTAAATTGGTACAGCCACTATGGAAAACAGTATGGAGGTTCCTCAAAAAACTAAGAATTGAATTATCATATGACCCAGCAATCTCTCTTCTGGGTATTTACCAAAAAAAACCTGAAAAAATTTATTCGCAAAGATATATGCACCCTGATATGCATAGCATTATTCACGGTGGCCAGGACATGGAAGTAACCAAAGTGTCCAATGATAGGTGATTGGATAAAAAGATGTGGTACATATATACAATGGAATATTACTCAGCCATAAGAAGAGATGAAATACTGCCATTTGCAACAACGTGGACGGATCCTGAGATAATCATGCTAAGTGAAGTAAGTCAGATAGAAAAAGATGAAAACCATATGATTTCACTCATATGTGGGATATGAAACTGAAAGCAATAAACAAATATGATAAACAGAGACAGTGGATTAGTGGTTACCAGAGGGAATGGGGGAGGAGGGAGGTAGATAGGAGTAAGAGGTCAAATATTTGGCAACAGAAGGAAATCTAACTTTGGGTGGTGAAGACACAATGCAATATATATATATATAACATGCTGCTGAATTGTACACTTGAAGGTTATTTGATTTTATTAATCAATGTCACCCCAATAATTTTTAACAAAAAAAGAATTTAAAAAATATGTGTTACCAAGAAGAAAGTAGCTTTATACTACCCAAGTTACATATTAAAGGTGTTTCAGCCTTGAACTTGTAGATTAAGAAAATTCTACTTATGGAAATAGAATTATAGTTTGCATATTGTCCAAAACAATGGATTCAATACAAGTTAAACTTACAGTCTCCACAGAAGCATTCGTTTCTTCAGCTTTTCCAATCTTATAAGCTTTTTTCATTCTTTCAGCTTTCATTAGAGCTTGCTTGGATCGACGACCTAGATGTTTAATTTGACATTGCTGTTGGCAGGGCTGATATAAAGGTTGTTTACTTGGGAGTGATGAAGAGTGCCTAGGAAATATTTGTGTTATAGACAGAAAAATTGCACAAAATAAAATTTAAATGTAAAGCAATTTCCAAATTTTATTAAAGCGTCCTCTAGCAAATATACTATAGATCTCAGTACTTGAAGCAATATTGCATGTATATTTTTAAGCCAAAATTGTCATTTTTGCTTGAGTTACATAGCACAGTTCTTTATCTGCCATTTATAAAGGTATATAGATGATACTGATTATAATGATGAAAATTATAAAATGTGGTATCAATTTAAAATCAGTTTTCCTGGAAAGTACTGTGTAGTAGCCATTTGAATCTTTTTTAAAAATCATATACTAACGAAAAAGTATTAAATTTCATAATGGCTGAAAAACAAGATATTTTGATCAGTGTCGGGCTCAGACAGTTGGTGCCATGCCCTTAGTCTTCTTGGCCTTACCACTGCAGAGCACATAGGTCCAACTTCCAACTGCTAGCATCAACCTCACCCAGCCTGAGAGCTTACTTGTGAAAACAAGAGCCTATATGGGATTGCAAACTGGTGCAGCCACTATGAAAAACAGTTTGGAAGTTCCTCCAAACCTTAAAAATAGAATTACCTTATGATCCAGAAATTCCACTTCTGGGTATTTATCCAAAGAAAAACAAAATATTAATTGGAAAAGATATATGCAATCCTATGCAGTGCTATTTACAATAGCGAAGGTATGGAAGCAAACTAAGTGCCCATCAATAGATGACCGGACAAAGAAGTGGCACATATATATAAAAGAATATTACTCAGAATAAAAAATGAAATCTTACCATTTGTAACAACATGGATGGATCTAGAGAGTATTACTCTAAGTGAAATAAGTCAGACAGAGAAAGACAAATACCATATGATTTCATTTATATGTGGAATCTAAGGAACAAATAAATGAACAAACAAAAAGAAAACAGACTCATAGATACAGAGAACAAACTAGTGATTGCCAGATGGGAGGGAGTTTGGGGGGACTGTGAGAAAAAGGTGAAGAGATTAAGAAGTACAAATTGGTAGTTACAAAATAGTCAAGGAGATGTAAAGTACAGCATAGGGAATACAGTCAATGGTATTGTAATAACCATGTATAGTGCCAGGTGGGTACTAATCAGGAGGATCAGTTTGTACATTATATAAGTGTCTAACCACTATGCTGCACACCTGAAACTAATATAATACTGAATGTCAACTCTAATCGAAAAATAAAAATTTTAAAAAAGGCCATGTGCAGGGAAAGTGTCTGAGAATTAATGCCCCCCCCCGCCCCCCCGCCCCCAAGCAACTCCCCTGTCTCCTGTTGGATAACTTGAGTTGCATGTTCTATACTGGCTTGGACATTTCCAGTGGGGATGAAGATCCAGTTATCCACGTCGGTAACTTGCTTGCTAACACACACTGTTTTGGCTGCCTGCCCTTCCCCCGTTTCATTTCTTTACCCAGGCCTTATCAGTGGTTTTGGGATCACCTTGCAAGTGTGAACTACTTGTATTCAAATCCTTGTCTCAGGGTTTGCTTCTGGGACATCCCAAACTAAGATTACATTCAAAGAAGTCTTTAAGAAAGTATATTTCCCTCTTCAATTGATTTAGAATTTGGCTACTTATTTGGCTTTTTAAAGAGACTCATTCTTGGATGATCAGTAGCATGAGCCCAAATAGCAAGGTGGCTGGGGTTATATGTGGTGGCAGAGAAAATCACATCATTTATTTGACCTTGGTGGTAATAAAGTTCTATATTCAGTGCTTATGTGGATGAGTTGGAGAAAATCTGTTTCATGATGACAGACTGCACCCTACACCAAGCCACCTGTCTGGCAAACGTATAGCCTTGTTCATAAAAATAAATGGGCTAAATTATGTTATTGGGTCAGCACCGCTCATCTCTAGTCCTGAAAAAAAATCTAGCATGTTTGTGTGACAATGGGTAACCAGCGTCTTCTTCATGTACTAAAGGAGTATTTTTCATTTCAAATATGACTGTGAAAACAGGCTACCAATAGGTCCTCTTCAGACTTACTATCTCTTTGTTTTTCTTAAGCAAGAAAGCTAAATTTGTAAATAAGATGGGCTAGGTAGACTTGGTAATGGAAAGAAAAAATATATAATTGGAGCCATCATATTCTGTCCATGTTGTTTCAGATCATAATACAGTCTGTTTTGCTACAACATGTGTTTCTATAATGTGAATTGGCTCACATGCTATTGGTAAAGAAGGGAATAATGTCACTGAAATTTATATGCAATTTATCCTTGGCAGGGGGAGCCAGAATAGCAAGAGCAGAATTATAACCTTCAGCAGAAAAGAAAAAAGCTCTGTGCAGCATGGGCAGTGGGAGCCCATTTAGCTGTATTTATAAAAACAAGAATTAGCACCTGCGCCTAGGGCTCTCTCCCCAGAGAGGCACCCCGCCCCCACAATCTACCCTTACTGTCTTCTTGGTCCAATTCCCTACTCCCTACCTTGCTTGGGTGGCTCTTGGTTTCTGACAGGTTGCACTGCCTCTCATGTCCACTTAAAAGGCAACCACACTGGCCCAGGGCTCCACTTCTATCTGCACTACCTTGGTGCCCACTACCTGCTCTAACCAAAGAGTTAGAGCCAGCATTTCGACTTTACTGTTGTATATTTTTATATCTGCTGTAGGGGCCTCCAGCCATCCTGAACTGCCTGTCTGGTGGTACAAGTTATCCCCCAATGTACCAACTGTCCTTTTTACTAGTGCTTTGTTTACAAAGTTGCATAAGTTTTGAGTGATCTTCCCCAGCCCTATTTTCCCCATATGCCCTATTATTGACACTTGTGAGCTATTTGGCAGAATGCGAACATTTTTAGAAATGTTCCTAATATTGTAATCCCAGTAAAGGATCACTCTTACCTAACTTTAGAAACAACCCGTAGCTGGTCCTGCCGCATCTCTTCTGTTTGTGGTTTCTGTGATAGATATTTCATTTCTTTGTGTAGACGGTTTGAGATTACTCCAAACTCTGCATAATGAACTATATCATACATTAGTGTTGTCCTGGGAATGTTTTTGAGGTTTAATCTTCTCCAATAGTTATTTCTGCCACCAGAATATGCAGGGGTCTCATCCAGAAGACTGGAATACTATATTTAAAAAACAATTAAGAATGATTGGTTGTGCATGCTCTACAATATTTTTAGACACATTTCCCAAGGTTCCACTCAAATGTCACTTCATCCAAAAAAGCATTCCTTGATCCATTTCTGAATTTTACTGGCATCTCTCTTCTCTGACTCTCATTACTGACTACTTGATGGTTTAGCTATCTGCATACATTTTAGCTACCCTGCTGGAAGGCAGGATCCTTGTCACACAGTATCACATACACAGTACCATGTACACAGTACCACACTCACTAAATATTTCTTTAATGCATAAACATTTTAATGACAAATATAACTCTGATAAACTCAGAATGAGCTTAAAAACTGATAATAGCTGTGTGATCTGCATACCTGATAGTGCTTGTTCATGACATGCTTGGGGTGAGAGGATATTTGCATAAATCTTTTTAGAAATAATGAGCTCCTCTCTGGTGTTAAGTGGTGAACATCACTATTCATTTGGAATATTTGTAGAAATCCCACTCTGCTTTTTTAAAAATTTAAAATATCAAATTAGGAATTTTAAACATGCAAATATACAATCAATTTAACCTTATAAATGTTCATTTAAGAAATTGGAATAGGGCAGGAGGAGCTAGGATGCTAGGAAATGGAATAACAGCTAGGCAGTTAGGATATATCGCACACACATGCAAACACGCACACACAGAGGCAGTTTTCCCTTTTGAATCACTTAGGCATGCATGAATTTTAATTACCATGATTGAGTCGAATAAGCCCAGTCCTCCAACAACATGGTTCAAATTTCAGTTACCATAGTATAATTGAGTAATTGCATAAAGTACAAACTCTGCTGCTAGCTCTTCAGTCCACAGATCACTACATAAATAACAGATGTGTATGGTGATTAGTGACAAATCATGTTACTTCTTTCAAAGTGTGTCAGTTATTGGTCACTGCGGATCTGTTATTCAGTTCACACAGTTACCTAAGTATGTCGTTATGTTGCTTGTCTCCCACTGAGGAAAAAAAGATAATCAAAAGAGGGAATAGGCCAAAAAAGAAACAAAAAGTGGTAATGTTGGAAGAGAAATTCATATCAAATACAAATGGAGTTTTAAAAGAAATAGGTGACCATGGGGATATTGCTACTGTCATCATTCAAGAGACTACAGATAGGCAGTTAGAGGTGAAGGTGAACGCATCAACAGAAATGAGGAAAGTGGCTGCAGCGAAAAGGATGAAGCTGTCCCAGAGGAAGTGAAGCTAGCAAAAAAGGCACTTCACATTAATGGAACTTAGAGATATATCGCAACATTTAAAGTGCAAAGGATAAAATGTTGGTAGGTGATCCAAACTTAGAAAGGTATATGACAATTCACCAAGGCATAGAGAAGATGCCCACTCTATATTGTAAGTTATATGAGAACAAGAAGGCAAGCACTTTTTAAACTACTCGAGTAAAACTGTTTTTTATAACTTTATATTCACATCCCATACAATTCGTCCATTTAAAGTGTATAATTCAATGGTTTTTAATACATACACTGATAAGTTTTTCAACTAATAAAACACTTCAGTTCTCAATGTTTCCAATGTTTTATAGTGAACTAAATAAATGTTTTGTTTTGTTTTTCATATTCCTATATATATA